AATTATAGGTTGACTTCGAGTCGTGATGACTCTATTCGCAGATAAAGCATGTTTTTAAAGTGCAGGTTTTTTCATCCCAACAGAATATTATGAGACAAACTCTTTCTTTAAATAATTCCTCGTCTCTGTTCTGTTTCGAGAGGAGAAAAAGAAGCAACTCACAAGATATGATCACTTAATTAAGGGGGGGGGGCTACACCTGGAGGCTATCTCGCTTATTACTGGACCGAATTTTACCAAATTTCACACATATAACAAGCGTAGTAAGGAGTCTTAAAATCCGCAATCAAATTTGAGAAAAATGTTTCGTTTCCATGGATACGCCGCCATATTGGATTTTATTGACATGTCTTAAGTAATGAATACCGCACTTATCGCTGATGGAAATTGATTGTTTTTTTGCATGCGTGTTTACAAATATTAGATCTAAAATTTTGTCTGTTGTTTTTTTTCCTAATCGAATTAGAAAATTTTTAATGAATTTTTTCCTGAGGTAGCATTCTAGTTTGCGAAAAATCCGTGAAAATCCACACTCCAGACGCCACCACCAAAAATCTATTCCATATATCAAAAATTCAACATCATTCTGTGAAAATTTCATGAAGATTGGATGAAAAATGGTGGAGTTATTTAAAAAAGTATAAAGAAAAGTCGCATTTTGAGAAAACAGCCGATAAAGAAAAATAAAATACTGACTTTATGAGGAAATGGCGGTTACAAACAAGCCCGGTATGGGAAAAAATACGGTTTTTGGGGGTTCTTATGCCATGAAATAGTTGTAGGAGAGGCTGAGGAAGCTAAAAATGCCTACAACTCAAATTCCATGATTTTGAGCCGAATTTTTATTTTGGGGGTGTAGCCCCCCCCCCCCCCCCCCCCCCCCCCTTTAGAGAAAATCGCTTCAATGGACGTATAAAAGACGGAAAAAATACCAACAGACAATAAAATACTGTGCGGATAAACCCTCGATCCAAGCGTTCAGTTCCGAACGCTTCTCAGACAAAACAGTACCTAAAGACTAAATGAGAGACTGACAGATGTCGATAGCCGTATAGCCTCCCACTGACCCGTCATAGCGGGGGTACAGTCTTCGTAACTGATATCTTTAAGTATATCAAGTAACTGTCGCTTATAAATTAAATAAATGTGTTATCATAAAGACAGCTAGTATCGTGTACTTCACACCAGAAGGTGCTTCTCTAAGTTTGTAAATAAAACACACAAATAATTGTTCGTTTGCTTGTTTCTTTGTTTGTTTGTTTGTTTTGTTGGGGGGGGGGTTGGGGGGGTGGTGGTGGTAAGTGTTTTACAGCGCTCGCAACTGCACAAGGTCATATGAGCGCGCGGGATACACCAAACATTTTCAGTTGGTCGAAAATTTTGAATTTTGCCCGGGTGGTGGCCGAAGCCTACTCTTAACGATTTTAGACCACCAAAGGATATTTAATGAGCGCAACTTGCATACGGGACTTCCGAGATTTTTCGTCCATGTCCGCGAAGGCTAGGTGTAGATCTTTCCTACCAGAAGATCGGAGGTGTGACTGAAAGGCCAGTAAGAAGGAGCTAAGGAGTAGCAGTTGAAAGTCTGCAGAAAGATTAAGAAGCCCAGAGGAGGGGGCAAAGGAGTTGAAGGGGTAGGGGCAGAAAGTAGAGACAAAAGCAGAGGACAGAGCATTGCTAGAGGGCAGGAAAAGAGGTGAAAAGAGACAATTTTAAAGAAGAATTTTTTTTCGGTCGCTCCCCGGATTCGAACCCGGAACCTTTGAATGAGAAGCGAACAATTTAACCTCTAGGCCACGGAGAACATTCTGTTTGTTTGTTTGAGTAAAGAGATGAGCATCTACACAATAATGTTTTGGTGAAAAGTAAGACAGACAAACAGAAAAAAGAGGGAAAGTAAAGAAAGAGGACCTACCAGCAGTCTTACTTTGGATTTTTTCCTATAGAAGTGTATTGAAACAATTTACTCTTTTCGTCCCTCAAATACATAGATGTTTACTTGACTCGCAAGGAATAAAGGAATATTGTATATCTTTTTTCGTTCCCCCAACCAGAACAATGGTTGTACTGTGTTCCCCCCATCCCATCCATTTCTCTCTCTCTCTCTCTCTCTCTCTCTCTCTCTCTCTCTCTCTCTCTCTCTCTCTCTCTCTTTCTCTCTCGTTCTCTCTCTCTATCTCTCTCTTTCACTCTTCCTGTCTCTCTCTCTCTGTCTCTGTCTCACTCTGTCTCACTCTGTCTGTCTCTCTCTCTCTCTCTCTCTCTCTCTCTCTCTCTCTCTCTCTCTCTCTTCGTTCATCTTTCTCTACCTCTCTTTTTAGCTATCTATCTCTCTATCTATCTACCTCCCTCTCTGTCTCTCTCTCCTCTCTCTCTCTGTGTATCTCTCTCATTGTATTCTCTTTCTCTGCCTCTGTCTGTTTCTTACGTTCTCTCTCTCTCTTCTACTCTTGCTCTCTCTCTCTTTCTCTCTCTTTCTCTCTCTCTCTCTCTCTCTCTCTCTCTCTCTCTCTCTCTCTCTCTCCCTCCCTCCCTCTCTCTATCTCTCTCACTCTCTGTCTCACTCTCTCCCTTTCTACTCTTCTCTTGCACTCTTACTCTTCCTCTTTTTTCTTTCTCCACCTCGCTCTCTCTCTGTCTCTTTCTCTTCTACTCTTGCTCTCTCTCTCTCTCTCTCGCTCTCTCTCTCTCTCTCTCTCTCTCTCTGTCTCCCACCTCTCTCCCCCTCTCTCTCTCACACACACACACACACACACACACACACACACACACACACACACACACACACACACACACACACACACACACACACACACACACACAGACACATAGATAATGGGTACGGGTAAGACGATGGGGTTAGAGATGTGTCTTTGTGAGCTCATGCCTGTTCACAAACTGAGAAAATGGGGCAGGAAAGGAGGGGGAAGAATGGTCAAGAAAAAACAAAATAAAACAAAAGACAAAACCGGGTGGGAGAGTGATGTGGGAGGTATGGAAGTGAAAAAGATATTTCTCATATATGTTTATATATGTCGCCAAAAATTGTGAGCCCAATGAGAG